AGAATATTTTTTGATATTAAAAGTCAACGTGGCGCAAGTTCTAAGATATATGTATAGATATATAAGATATATTTTATTTATTAAAACTATGCTTATACATAATATTTTAAAAAAAACGTCATTTTTGACATCCGATTTTGAAAAATCTTTTTGTCGAATTAGCCATAACCATGTTCATAACTGATATAAAGTCGATACGAAATATTTGATTTCTTTATAATTGAGTAACTTTTAAAAATGGTTTATAAGATGAGTGTGCACAAATTATCTCAAAAGGGGAGTGTTAACTTGTAGAAGATTTAGCTGCAGCCTGACTACACGGGCCCCTTTCAAAGTAGAAACTAGTACAATAGCCAGATATATCGCATTTTTGACGCTGTTTACCGTCGCTAGTCCATATAATTCATTCCAATATTCCCCTCTTTGCTTATGATTCTAACGAGATGTTGTCTGATAGTCATATTGCCGTCATATACGTCTTATGCTTCAAGGCTTATTTCTCAATCACTAACAAAGTTTTTAATATCTTATGGTTTTAAAAATTAGATGTGAAACACACACACCCATATATATATATATATATACAATATTACATCTACTTATCCATTGATAATCATAGAGGTCTATTAAAACCTTATAGGTTACCTCGTAAGAGAGATATTTGCCATAACTGCCACGCTTGTCAGGCTTATATGCGACCGCAATTTATTATTTTCTAGTAGTTATTAGGCAGACTCGTATCATATCATACCGTTGGTGCCGTAGAAGGCGACAGAGGGACACACACCAGGAGACACAAAGAAGCGCTTCCCAAATAATAACTAGAAATATAACATATGGTATTATAATAAAGTTATGCCGAAGTAAAGCATACAATTTTGAACAAAGAATATTGGGCGGATCAGAACATTTATTTATAGAATAATATTCAGGTTAAGGATTCAAAGCGGTTGAGCACAGTTGGATTCTAAAGAATTATTTATTATTTTTCTAGAACGAGACCCAAGAGTGAGGGAAATAATAATTCTTGGGAACATTGCAATAATTGTATAGGTCAACACCATCTGCTGCCAACTGATTTATGACATCTCGGGAAAAAATCTCGTTGACACTCGGCGCGTTTCGCTCTCCGCTTTCATATAAATGACGAAAAAAGTTTTCGGTACAAAATAATTTCATAAAATGTTGAACGATTCCATATTACCAAAAATGGTTCTATTTTACCATTTCATCATTGTATACAGATAATTTTACATAAGATTTTTTTTATAGAATAGGGTGACAAACGAGCACACAGTCCACCTGATGGTAAGTGGTTGCTGTGACCCATATACATCTACATTTATCCTCAATAAAGAATCAAAATGCAGATGCATCGTCACCCGTGAGGTTCTCTACACTCACCATACGAAACACAGCAGTGTCAAGCTACCATTTTACGCTGGTATTCCTAAGTGGTATATTGTAATTATGTAAGTATATTAGTAAGATTACTTTAAACTTAAGTTTCAGTAACATTTCTTTATATAAAATACATTCAGATGATTATATTAAAGAATAGTTGGAATGATAACCAGATCATTCATGCACTTAACATATATTTTTTATAGTATAAGAGTGACAAGCGAGCAAACAGTCTACCTGATGATAAGTGGTTGCTGTGGCCCATATACATCTACGTCTATCCTCGATGACGAATCAAAATACAGATGCGTTTTCACCCGTGAGTACTAAGATGGAATGCCTCATTTCCAGTAAAATGGGTCTATAGTTGTAGTCGATATATGTAGTTACCTAAGGACCTTGCTAAGTTGCAGTCATTCTGTGCGAACTATGTCCAGCAGTAGAATAAATAATAGTAATAATAAATGTTATGTATGTGTAGTTAAATAAATATGTAAAAATTATGTGTAATGGACAGTACTCCGAAAATTTAGATATAGGTAGAGTAATTAGCAAGGTAAACTCGTCGGTAATTTAGCGACCTAAACACATAATTTTGAAGGAATTAAAATAAATTCGCTTTAGTTTTATATATATTTATTATAAAAAAAACATTTATGTTACATTATCTTGACATAGGGGGATACTTTTATCTTAATTCTATATAAATATGTTGCATTAAACACATGTAATATAATGTATAATTGTTTGTTCAAGACTAATTCAAGATTATATATCTGAACATCAGTTCGATTGAATTTGGTAATTATAGTTAGTGCAATATTCATAACATTTATTTTATTAATCATACATTTATTTCTACTCCTTTTTAAACATCGGTTATCAGTAATACATTATCACACCTATAGGTAAGTAACATATAAAATACATGATGTAGTCTTAAATCTAGATACATACTCAACGAAACGATTATGTAAATCAGTCATTTGAAGAATAACATTAAACTTAATAATAGTATATTCAATATTCTAGTTATAATATCAAACCTAAAACGTTTTATTTATTCTTTGTTTTACAAACAAAGTATAATATATAACAACGTTAAATATATAATACAGGAGTAGTTTTAAAGGCGTATAACAAATATACTCGTTGTGGAATAAAAATTAAAAACGTGTCGTCTCCTGCATTAAAAGACATGGGGAATTCGTGACAGACATTTTTTGAAATTTCACAATTTCTAAATTTCGATTTTATTTTATGACATTTTATAGTCTAACAAAATAACTCAAATAATCAAATGCGACATATTTTCTAGTTATAAAGTTCATGCTGGAGAGCTTTTTTATGAACTTATATTGAAATGTCATATATAATAAGTAAGCACAGAAGTCTGAAACTTCTGCTAGCTGGGTGGTGCTGACTCATAGCGACACTTTTGATAAGACTTGTTCAATTTTTTTATTAATGTTTCGCACCGTATATGGTAGGTATATCAGCCTTTCTGTGATGGACGGATCGAACCGTACATCTTACATAATTTATTACAAAAATTTATTAACCCCGTTCGTTTTTAAAACCGCCCAAGTATTAATTTATATTTTTGGCACTTTGTTGTTTAAGAATTTGACTTTTTATGTTGACACGTTTGATAAAGGTTCAGTTTATAAATTTAATGAAACTTAGAAATAATTAAATATCTTAACATAAATAATAATTTTATTTTCAATTTATCAATCAAATCAATTTATTTTAATAAATTACAATAGAAAGCTTTATAGGACGGCAGCTTAAGTAATACAAGCAGGTTAAAGATTTCAGTGGAATAAAGTCTGTTAGATTGCAAATCAAAACGTATTTCATATTTTTAATAAATCAATATAAATTTATAATTTTATTGATATGATTCATTTACATACTGCCTTTGGCATTCATTCCGTAATAAATAACTATTTCCAAACTTATTTCAATTAGGCTTAAGAGAATTTACTAAATGATTTAATATATTATAAAATAGCAACTACGAGTATCATACAGATAGTGTAATAATTGTTATACTATCTTTATGAAAAGTACAAATACATATATTCCTATAAGAATTCTTATATCTCAGGTTTTACAATAAAATTAGGTTTTGTAACTTACATAATACAGTTCGTATAATTACCTTTCATAATTGAATACGACGGGGAATAAAATGGCGATGAAAGTTTTAATCATAAGTTAAAAATGGTTGTAATTTTTATTTTAACTCACCGTTTAGTTTCTGCCACAAAATCTCAAATGACCATAATAATATAGGTATTATGTTTCAAACTATTCATAATAAAAAATATGAATATCGAAAGCTCATTAGGTATAAATTACTCTAATTAGAATTCGTAAGCACATAATAAAAATAATTGAAGTTAAGAAGTCACTTTAATGTAACTTACTGTGAACGTCACATAAAACAATTACCTCAGTGGTGAACGTAGTCGACTCTTATTCCGATATGATAACGGTTTGACAGTTGCACTTAAAATAATTGATTCAGACTATAGAATTTGAAACGAGTGCAATGCGCTGAAAGCTAAAACATTTTATGAAAGCTGTCATTGACACTAAATTATTGGAGAACATTTAACCAGTTTGCACAAATTTAATTTTGTCGACGTAAGTAAATTTGTAATTTCATCTAGAAATATTTTAGTACGTTGTACGTTAACATTTGACTACAAAAAAAATACTAATTTGAAATTCATAATGACTATGAACGATGACATATTAAATCAGAATCATTCAAACCTTAGGCTAATTATCCTGTAAAGGTATTTTCGTTACCGAACATTCATTTACATACACTTATTGAAAAAAATGGTTTATTTTATTATTTTCTATACTCGTAATTTTATACACGACCCTGATATTATTTATTCTACTATAAGATCTGACGGTACCATCAATGAAATGGCTTATTTTGAACCAAAAAACGTCTAACATTAATAACGCGATTACTAAAAGTTACATATTTATTTGATTGATTTTTTTATATATTACGGGTGACAAACGAGTCCACCTGATTGTAAGGGGATGCTGTACGTATAAGATTATCTCTATTAGTCACAAAAGTACATCAAAAGGGTTTCAGAGGTTTACGTAGTACAACATCGATAGCGTCAGCAGAATCTATTGGAGTGAAGACAATTTTTTCAATGAAATATTATTTATAATCTTATGTTGAATGTGTAAACGTGATCTTATTTTAATTTATTTTATTACATCAAAATAATAGTAGTAGGAAACTGAATAGAAATATTTCCTTTGACCAATAATATGAGTATAAGTCGTACATGCTAAAATTCTCAAATGGTTTCTTAAAAGAAAAGTTTGGTAGACATGCATAGTTTGTCAATAATTTTATTTAAACATGATGAGCAATATTTTCATAAAAGCCTTAAAAGTAAGATAGCTATTACGTGTTTGGTAATTTTTAGCTAACTTACTTATGATGTGTCCGGTACAGATCAGATTTACAGTTGGTAAAGTTCTAGGGAGCTAGACATCTGCCTAGAGTGGGACGCACGGCGTACAGTGCCCACGTCCCTGGCTGCAGATCACACTTGCGTAAAACTGGCTTGCAGTGCCGTCTCCTCTTCTCCGATCTGGTTTGCCGGAGTGTAGTACTGGTATATAATAAAACATTTTACTTTTGGACGTCATACAATAGTTGAAAATAATTATGCGATAAGCACTAATAAGCTTATTTTAGTAATATTTTATAATTTAAGCTGTAAAGAGTTTAAAATTTTTAATAAACAAAGACATATCATAATTTTCGGAAGACATGACAGAGGGAAACTGAAACAGCATCCTGATAACAACTAAAACTAATAAAAACTGCGGTTTCCAACCCGCGTGCAAGGAGTGGCAACTATGGCAAATCACCCTGATAACGCAATATGGGGGCGGTGATGTTCAGCAGTTGACTTGTAATGGATTGACAGAGTGAAAAATCAACAAAAGTTATCGTTATTATTATAGAAATTTATACGAATCAAAATAACCCTGGGATATAGTCGATACTTTAGCTTTCTCTTAAGTCATAATGACTGTACCATATAGTGCCATATGTAAGCTTTTGAATTAAATAAATTCCATGGATTTCTTGCTGTTATTCATTTCCGATTCAGTAATAAATAAAAAATAATTTTACTGAGTAACCTAGTGGTGATCTACGCATATTAAATAAAAAGCATTTTATTCGATTTTATATTAAAATAATACTCACGCCAACATAAGGAGCACTATTCCAGCCAACACGCTCTTGATCACGTTGAGGAATGCGCTGGACAGAGTTAATTTCTGAGCGTGTTGAAAAAGTTGCTTTGGCCTTAAATGCAGCTTTTAGTGAAATATTAGCCCGAGCAGCTTCAGCACGGCCATGTTGAAAGAACTCAAATAAAGCTACAGCTAGTGCTAGAGCCAAACCTGCCATCAACACGTAAAACAGTCCCGCTACTTGGCTCAAAGTAAGTTCAGCGCCATGGATGCCCTAAAATTTTGAAAGAAATTATAGGGATTAGTTAGGTACACAATTTTATCAATTTTAACAATAAAATACTTACCGGTTCGTTTATATTGCTTTCTGACTTGTTAAACCATTTTATAAGAATTTTTTGTAATTCGCCTTCATTTTTGAGAGACTGCAAAGCTAAGTTCACTCCGTCCCTAGAAAATACTTTTAATTTATCTAACTGCTACAAAATAAGAAATTACAATATACACAACGCATAGGGATCATATAATTAAGTGTTGTTTTATAAAAAATATAACACATTCGCATCCGCAGCATTCGCAATTGCGCAATATTAATTGATGATAAAGTTACCTTAATTTCGACCCTTTTGGAAATGCCACTGCAAAGTCTTTTACTCCAGATTTAGTAATTGTGACTAGCATCTCACATTTTTTTTCATTAATTTTCACTCCGGTGTTGCTGGCTGATGGGTCTAATAGAAAAGCGAGCCAACCTTGTTCATTTGCGGCTTTTTCATGAGTAACTTCAAAAAGTTGGCCGGCTATAGCATCCTAAAACAATTTTAATAAAATTTCTGTATACAAAAATAAAATAAAATAATTATTTATATGATTGATATTTGACTTTTAATTATTATTGTCTTCTCCTTTATGTACCAAGCTTAAAATACCATAGGACAATCATTAAAAACTTCAATATATTATTGCACTGAATACTCGTAATATTATAATTTTTAGCTATTTACCTCGGGGCATGTAGTCACTTTACTGTAATATTGGATTGGTTCAGATATACGTTTCAAAGCTAAATATGAAGCAAGATTGGCCGTATACGATGATATCACAATAAAAGTGAAAAACCACCAAACAGACCCAACGATCCGTCCAGATACAGATCTGAAACATACATAAATAAACATAATATGTTTAAATAATTGCTTTTGTTTTTGTTTAATACTGTGAGTTCACTAAGCCTAAGCCTAGTATTCAACATGTCTTTAGTTAAGAAGTAAAAGAATATTCACTAACCTCGGAGCAATGTCACTGCCTTGTTGCATTAAGGAACCGATTGAAAACCATACAGAATTCCAAAAGCTAAATTCATTCACGATTGTTGTCTGAAAGGAATGGTTAATTATACGTATAAATTCGTTTAATTGCATTTTAACATATAAAATTGAAGTATCTGTTTGTAATGTCAAAATAACAGTTTTTTTCTAAATGCATACGAAAGTCTATACGGTACTTACATATAACAAAAACACAATTCTATAAATTTTAGTCTGTCTATCTGTCAGTTCGTTCCGACAAATCTCCGAAACGACTGGACCGATTTTGACAGCACTTTCACCGGCAGATAGCTAAGGTAATAAGGAGTAACTTAAGCTACTTTTATTTTAGAAAGAGTTTGAGGGTTCAGCGGGAAAAAAATTAAAACCCAAGAAATCCAATAAATTACAAGAGAGCGATGTCACGGGGAACAGATAGTTTGTAAATAACTCTTTCATAAATCCATATTTTAATACAAGGAAAATTTAATACATATACATGAGATTTAACTGTTTGTATACTGTGTAGTGGCGGTGTAAGAATATCCACTCCCCATAACGTCCGTTGAGTATCCTAAGAAGTGACAGAATTTTTTTACTGGTAAAGAGGCATTCCATCTTAGTCCTCACGGGTGACAACGCATCTGCATTTTGATTCGCAAACGAGGATAAATGTAGAAGTCTATGGGCCACAGCAACAACTTACCATCAGGTGGACTGTGTGCTCGTTTGTCACCCTATCCTATAAAAAAAAGAAAACAAACCAGGAGATGGCAGCATCATCTTCCTAATAACAACTGGAAAATAAAAAACTGTGATTGCCAACACACCTACCAAGCATGGCAACTATGACAAGTATACTCACCGTAACCTCACCAGTTGATTTTTGATGGGTTGTAATTATGATGATGATGACGGTGATAAAAATTAACTGTTAATATGATATTTAACTTTTTATAAAGTAAAAGTTCTTTGTTGGAACAACGGTATCGTACTCGTAGATCTCAGTGTAGAATGTAGGTTAAGATTGCATTCTATAATTTCATTCATCGTTAGCGGACAAAGTTTAACGTAGTAATAGATCATAGGAAAAGGTATTCGGCTAACGAAATGTGAGCTGATGAATGTTGCTTATAATTACAAAATAAATATACCTTGGTAGTTGCTACTTCGTTGTGTTCGGAGGTTTGAGTATCAGTAAAAGACAGCACGCGCCATTCTTGAGGTGAGAACCTCGATACTAAGAACAGTACTGTGCTAACAGCAAAAATACTGAATAATAAGCAAATCTGGAAACGAAACATTGTTCATAATTATACTGTTAGTAGTGGTAGTATATTTATACTGTTATATCCATTTAAAATTGTAATGTAGTGTAAGTAAAACGTAAAGGCAGTATCCTAAATGGTCCTTTGTTTATCAATTTTTTACTAAAAAAATCTTTAACGATAAAATTTTCGAAACCATGACCAGTCTAAAATTGTGAACTTACACAAAATCCATTTGAAATTTAACAAGAAGCTTTTATTCTTAATTTTATATTTGCTATTTAATTTTTTATTAAAGAGAAATTGCCGCGATTTAAAACAAATATCAAGTGCAAGATAGTTAATGTTAATGTGATGCAGCGGTATAGGCTACAAGTATTGGTATGGTATTATATAACTACTTATGGTCTTGGTGTTTGTTTATATTCAATTTTAAACTATTTTTATTATTTGTTACCAAAATTTATAAAGGACACAAAATTATATTAATATAAAATATATAATTTTATAGAACTTATTCCACTTCTGCTACTATTCCACACTGTCATTCTTCTTTTAACTGCAGAGTAAATAAATGCATACTAAAAGTCTATACGCAAAACGATATCTGACTTCCTCCAAGTAATAAAAAAAACTTATTGATTGGTAAAAAATTCTTACCCATATCTCCTTAGATAATGGATGAAAAAAACTGAAAATAGTATTCACATCTGAAGCTCCTTTTTTTTCAGGTTTAACATCAAACGACAAAAATGGCTTGCTGAAGTCAACGACAGTCTCCCGTTCTAAAGTGACAGTCAAGGGAGCAATCACCAGGTCTGCTTCCTATAGAACCAACAGCAAACATCAACATTTTTACGTGGCAGAGTCAGCGGTGTAGAGGGTTAAGGGTTAACGTAACTAATGAATACTTAAGTATTGACTAGTCAAGGATAGGGATAAGTATGAAACATACTTTATATCATTGTTTTATAAATGTCTATAAATAAAATAATCTTTTAATTTTATTTTATAAATATAGCATGTCTCTTTAAATGTTGCGATCGAAGGTTTTGTGCATTTATTCAATCACATTTCACCTTATAGCATTTTCTACCAGTCAACCCTTGTGTCACTTCAATGCATCATAATCCGTGATAGTGTACTTGTACTTCCTACTCTTACTATGGACGAGAGTTGGAACACGGCTTGTGTCATTTCAAAGTCAAAGTTTAACATCTTTCCACTAATATTTGACCTAACTTTGTTTAACTTAACATTCGAGAATCACTCAGTCAAACATCATTTACGGTCGGAAGATCTTTCAGATGTCGGATGGTATCGTGATGCAGGGGTAGCGTCTCGCAATTGCTAGTGATCCACGAACACAAAAGCTCTTATTAAGACAGTTGTTTTAATCCACACATTTGCGAAATCTTCATAAATTTTGCAGAAATCTATGATAAATATTTTTGTCGAAATTATTTTGTAATTAGTAGTCATGGCTAAAACCATTTCATTTTCTTTTACGACTTTACCGCAAACAATATTAAGTAATACGATATCTGCGATAAGGAATACATGAGATTTTTGTTACACAGATTCTTATAGAAAGGAAAACCATATAATGCCCCAGCTGGCCACAGGTCACCTCTTATTTGTGAGTGGGTTATTGAGTGGGAGAGGCAAAATATTTATTTACGATATAATCTTACGTTTTACTTTTTTTAGAAAGAACCTTATACCTTTGCCCTGAAATCTAACGTCAAGATTATACTTCAAAATAACATATATCAAAGTTTTGCGTATGTTGAGTAATTTTAAGAGAGTTATAGTGGTGGGTTTGATCAAGAATCAAGTTTGTTTTGTTTTACAAGTATTATTCAAGTATCTTACAAGTATTATTGAAATAATTACAAGTTGCAATAAAGCATGCAAAATATCACTTTTGGATAAAAAATCAATAAATAAGGAATAATCACATCTTCTATAATATAAAAATGAATCGCTGAATGTGTTGCTAAGCGCAAATCTCGAGAGCAGCTAAACCGATTTCGCTAATTCTTTTTTATAATATTCCTTGAAGTACGAAGATGGTTCTTACGGAGAGAAAAATTTAAAACATTGCCTGAAAAAGTCTAAAAAAAACATTTTTCAGATTTGTTATAATATTTAAAAGTCAATTTGAACTTTAATACCATACTATAAAGTTTAAGTGTTAGTGGAGGGGTTCCGAGAAGGAAAAACAATTAAGTGACATGAGTTAGTATTGTATAAATATTAATGTCAATATTTGTCAATATTTATACACACTGGCAGATAGCTGATGTTATAACGAAGAACTTGGGCTGCTTTTATTTTAGGGTTCCGCGAAAAATAACTCCACACGGGCGAAGTCGCGGTGAACAGCTTGTAGTATAGTATATATCTAGGCTATATACTATATACTATATAGTGGATGTGGACATTTATCGTTATATGTATATCAATAGAATTTCAAATCTACTGTGAGTAAGATAATAAATGAAGTAAATTATATTCTTCAAATCCCCAAAGGTCTATTTTGTCCTCGGTAACCCTACTTACAAAAGAATTAGGTTAGGATGTGTACATAGAGCGTTTTGTGCTCCATTGAAAACACTCAACGAAATTAGATAAATACGAGCGAGCACGTACCTTCCTTAAAAGTTCTCCGATCATTCCGTCCCAGCCGCCAATAACTTTAGGATTTTCGTTGCCGTATTTGCCATCTCTAACCAATCGCAATTCATCTATAAGTAATTTCATAAATTAACACCATTCATCAAAAATATTAAATTAAACAAAAGAACAATTCGCAGCTTAAGCCAAAGTATGTATAATTGTAATTTTTAAAAATTTGAACGATGCCTAACTGATCTTAGTGAGAGAGACAAAGTCCTGGTGTTGGATGCTAAGTGGATAGATGTTTTGGCAGCCTGTCAGTGGTATTTCAGCTTCGAATATAAGTTCGGTATTAGAGGCGACTAAACTATGTAAATGGCGCAAATATGAGTCACTTAGAGACGAATATATATTTGTGTAGAGACCATTGGTCCGTGGAGTTCACGCGCGATGAAATTGCTAAGAAACTGTATACGCGACTGGTCATTGTCGCTAGATACTAGAGGACTGTCAGGAGTCTTTCTTAGCACTATAACTTGGGAGCAGGTTTCTTTGATAATTTTAGTTGCTTGTTTTTTTATTGTAATAAATAATGTATATTGTAATGACTTACATTTCATTTCCATCTTTTCCAGCATCAATTCGGCGAGGTCGACGCAAAAGCCCCGGTAGCGGTAATTGGCCATAAGCTCTGGGTCGGAACGCATTATATAAGGCGCTTCTTCAATAGTCGAAACAATGTATGTCTTGTTTCGATCGTAGTGCCCGGGAATATTGATTGCTGGCTTTGCGACGACAGGTACTAACCCTTTGTAGTTGTACCAAGTCCCAATCTAATATGAAATTATATTATTGTTAAATATAATATTAAGAACATTGCTAAAATTTAAAGTTGAAACTTGAAATACACAATTTAAGTAAAGTGCCAAATTTATTTACGCAAGTTACGCACGCGAATGATCTTATATTTGAAATTAAAAGTAAATTAAAGTATTTTTTATAGGATAATGGTGACAAACGAGCACACAGTCCACCTGATGGTAAGTGGTTGCTGTGGCCCATAGACATTTGAATCTATCCTCGATTACGAATCAAAATGCAGATGCGTTGTCACCCGTGAGGACTAAGATGGAATGCCTCTTTGCCAGTAAAAAGGGTCTCCGGTTCTCTACACTAACCATACGAAACAGCAGCATTAAACTGCTATTTTACGCTGGTATTCTGTGAGAGCGTGGTCCTTCCCCGGTCGAGCCGACCCATTCGTGCTACAACTGTACTAGTAATATAGCTGTAGCATGGCTCTACCACGTATATTAAGTAACATTAAAAGTTTGTTGATATTGGGTCATCAGGCTATTCAGTACTGTAAACATCTTTTTAAGGATACAAACTAATCCGACATGGAACTCTACGTGCTGGAGGATATCTGTATTTAGAATATTAAACCAGTCATCAGTCACCAATAATAGAAAAAAATTATGTAAAATGTAAATTACGACGGAGCTTTGAAAACTCTTTGATACCAAATTTTCAACTGTACTTGTGTATTATGTTTACACAATAGGGGAACCATAAAAGCACCATAAAACATAAAAGGTGACAATATTTTTTACGACAAAATCTTTTTATTGAATTATGCAGGCGAGAACGATATAGTATCTTAGCAGAAAGTGGATCTGAGTAAAAAAACAACTTATTGAAGTAATGGAGAAAATAATATAATTAAAATACCAAGAAATTTAAAATATAAATCAGCATGAACTGAAATAATACATAATATTATGTTAGGTTATATGATAAATTGACGGAAGAAACTATTTTGTTTAGCTGAATTTTGGTCGCATAATTAATAGTGAACCGAAAAGAGTATCGCTCAGGGTATAGCCTCAAAACTTACCATATGAAAAAAATATTTTTAACAGTTTAAAGATACCAAAAGAAGATTAAATAAAACGTAATTTTGAAATAGAACGCTATATTGGTGGCAACGTGGACATTGGCATGGAAGACAAAATTGAGGCAATTGTATGCTGGTGGAGAATGGGCGGAAGAAAATGAGACGCTGTCAACTTGAACATACTTGTTACATTAACTGCTGATGATATCATCGTTATGACAAATTTCCGCAAAAACTTTTAGACATGCCGAAAAACGAATGAATTCTCCTAACTAAAAGTTTGAATTTAACGAAAGAAATATTTTGCAACTGTCACACCATACCGGTTCCATAAACAGTCGATGGGGAGATTCTCGAAGTTTTTCATAAACATAAACACCTTGGGCAATTAGTTTAACAAACATTGAGAAGGTAGCAAAGAGGTAAGCAGTTATTTTAAATTTTCTCGCCTGCTTCCTATAAATTCTGCAGAAAAAATGTTCAACCAATACTTGCTGTCTGTACTCACATAAAGTTCTAAAACGTGAACCATACGATAGAAAAAATTATAATTAATTTACAAGATCAAACTCACCCAACAAGCAATAGAAAGTGCTCTCTATACTCGTAACTTTTTTGTGGAATCGCCATTTGATGCTAGTGAAGTGATGTTAGTTTGGTTTAATTTGTAACACAAGTGATAACCGTTATAGAAGACCTGTCATGAATTGAGCAGGCAGCCAGGCAGATGAGCATAGATGGAGTAATAATTTGACCTATTTATGTAGTTGGCTGCTAGTTTTTTTTATACGATAAGGGTGACAAACGAGCACACAGTCCACCTGATGGTAAGTGGTTGCTGCGGCCCATAGACATCTACATCTATCCTCTATTACAAATCAAAATGTAGATGCGTTGTCACCCGTGAGGACTAAGATGGAATGCCTCATTTCCAGTAAAAAGGGCCTCCGGCCACCTGCACTCACCAAGCGAAACTCAGATGTAAACCTCTACTTCACGCTGGATTTCTGTGAGGTACCACCCCGGTTCGAGCCGGCCCATCCATGCGACAGCAAAAGCTGCCGCGTGGCTCTACCACTGTTAAAAGCTACTAGTATTGCAGATCGGAAAAAGTGACGCGCCCTCAAAGAGATTGACCATTTTTTATACTTGATATGTATTTTACAATATTATTATATTTTATGCAGGTTGTAGTGGCGGTGTAAATATATTCAATACCTCATATCCTCCCGAGAGTGTCGTAAAAGGCGACAGAGCGAAAATGTAACAGGAGATAGGCAGCAGCATCTTCATATCAGGAATCAACAACAACTCAAAATAATATAAAACTGCAGTTGCCAAACCGCTTGCAAAGCGCGGCACCTATGTCAAAATCCCCCCATAAGGCAATCTATGAGGGAGGCCTATGTAAAGCAGTGGAATTTTATAGGCTGTAATGAATGGATGTGTATAGAAAAAAGTTAAACAGTTTTAAAAGTTATTTACTGAAACAATCCTGTAACTGGTAACTACTGTAATAGACGAAATTTTCTTATTTCGCGGAATATGTTAAAATATTGCAAATTCTGCAATCTTATTTTAATTTAAAGGATTATAAAATTTAATATTTTATGTAAGTTTTAAAGGCTATAAGATACTTGCTGTACAATCACGTGGTGTTTGTGTTTTGATAGAATAAATATTCTTAATTCTTTCATACCTTTACCATATCACCACTAACAGTCATCTCCATTAGCTGAAGCGTAAAATTTCGACGATGTCCAGCTTCGTTAAACTTGAGAACACCAGTCAATCCCTCTAGCTCCGTCTGAAGCAAATAGAATAATATCGACTCTTTCTATTACAATTAAATTAGTTTCTTAATCGCGCTACGCCTTTAATATTACATACCTTTTTAGCACTGTTATTGAATGAAATATATTCTATCCGAAAATGTTGTTAAAATATGTTACGTAAAATATAATAATATATTATGAAGTATAATTTTTCCGTGCATATTACCGGTTTAAATTTTCGCAGCAATTAACTAGTTTAAATGAATAGGCGTCGAGTAAAAACATTTAACAAATTCAGTAGCTTAACTACTGAATTTGTTAAATATGTGTACTCAGTTTCAACATGTGAAACTGGGAGTTAGGAAATATATGACTCGTTCTAATTAGGCGTCAGGTAGCGGAACCTCATTAATCGCCTAAGGCTCGCTCACCGCGCGCACTCAATTTAAAGGACGGTCCCATATTCAACACCTGTGTTCCTCTGCAATTCCGTTTAATTTGAATCCGTTAACTTATTTCAATGGCGCGCCGACTGAAAATTGATTTTAACAAAATACAGCTCTACTTACGGGTCAATAGATATTCGTTTTAGAATTTATATTCGTAAAAGTTATTCCCATTTTCAAACTTGCAAACAGATTTGTATATTTTTTTTTAATTTTTTATATTTTATATAATATAAGATTGAGTCACCAAACTCCACTTTTTTATCGATATATACAACATTAAAAAACTATAATAAAAAAAAACTAAAACGAATAATTTAATTATCATACAGCACTTTCACAATACACAATTCCACTTGCTTTAAGAATTTGGTTTATGTTTTTAACTAAATAGGTATTAATATTATAAAAAAATACAACAATTTATAAATTAACAAATTTAAAAAAATTATAAATTCTTCATTCAAATAAAGAAAATCTTAATGTAAAATCTCTGTCTAGACAGTTTAAAAAGTTAATAAAAGCATTAGAAATTATAAGCATCTTTCAAAACGGTTTTCTTTCTTCATTTTTTATCAGAATCTTTATACACATTTAGATTTAACAAAAGATATTTTATAATTAAGCGCCTACATTAAATTCTTACAAAATATACTTTAATTATAACGAGATCATAACGTATTGTAAAGACATCATTATTTACGACCAACGAAAAAGATATTTTTTATATATTACATATATATTGTTATGTGACCGGCATTCAATAAAGAAATGCCATATTTTGCCGTATAAGTATTATTTTTCAAGTTTTGTTTTCAAATAAAACTATCTCTTCACCTTTACAAACCACGACGCCAGTAAAACAATGAAACCCGAGTAATTTCTCCACAATTTACGCTTTCACAAAGGGAAAAGAGACGCTTCTGGTATACGTGAGACATAATTCTGTTTAGCTTTTTGGTATTACCCAGTTCAACGAACATTTTATCGGACTAAGACATTCAAAGAAAGACAGTAAATATTATGATTGAATCGATGAACACGAAAAAGTAACCTGGAATTTAATATATTTTTTATAGTACTGCAGTTGAAGATTTTTTTATTTTTAATATTAAGCCAATCAGTGAAACATTTTTAACAGTACGTATGTGTAGTATTTGATTGTATACAGTGAAACAAAAAACAAACTAATTAAACTAATATAATATTTAAATTATATAATAATTATTTATATGCTTGGCGGTTAGAGCGGCACAAAGAATTTTCACACTTGTTATTAACAGATATTTAAGATTAAACGAGTCTGTTATTTTATAATTACAGGAAAATAAAAACAGGAAATAAAAAGGAAGGCTTAAATACAACAAAGCACTAAATCATTTTTCATCAATTCAATTTTCGAAAATTGTTTAACTTAATCTGTTTCACACTAATGGCTGTCCATTCTGTTAATACGGTTGACATTTTGCCACCATCAGTGTCGTCATGCATCGAGTACGCAGCAAATAAAGTGCAATTGTTGGAATCTATAAGTAAATATATGTATAATTGGCATCAATCACTCGCATGGGCTTTAAATATTTAAAATATTTTTAACAAAATTTGCAGTCATTCTGTATTATAATTTGAAACTCTCGCTTTAGGAAACTACTTACAACTAATAACGAACGTTAGATAGACTTTCAACTATTACATTACAAAACACGATAAACGCAAGCTTAACGTGAAATATGTGGTTTCCTTACCTTTTTTATCATCCTGATAATCCTGTCGCCAATCTCATAAGCTAAATATTTTTGTGAAGGATTGCAATCAAACGTTTTATTATTAGTTAGTAGGTATGCTTTGCGTCGTATACTGTTCCGCAAAATGTCTGGTTTCTTGCGCACTAAACGCAGAGTTGCATCAACAATTACTTGTACAGCATCATACATCAAAGCCGCTTTAGCCTGTGCAACAGTTAGATATATTAATAATATGCACATCTTAAAATATCAATAAGTTGAGGTTTTTAATTAGAGAGAATAAAATAAAGTATTATTACGCATCTGCAATTCCCCTGGTGTTGCAGTTACGTATACTTGTTCATGGGCGGCGGTAGTCACGTACCATCAGGTGAGCCGCATGCTCGTTGCCCACTCTCCTATTAAAAAAAATATATAAAGACATTTTAATTAAGGTCATTTTCTTATTACTACTAAAGCGATGAAACGTCTGCATTAGCGAAATGTTATGTCAACACCAGGTACATTATTTTTCTTGAAAAGAAGATTCCCTGGCCTTTATAGAAAAAATAAATCATTAGCAGCAACTTCAATTACATGATATTACAAATCTGTAAAATAAATGACGATACATAAAGTCTTATCTTTTTTTATATAGAATAAGGGTGACAGACGAGCACACAGTCCACCTGATGGTAAGTGATTGCGTGGCCCATTGACATCTGCATCTATCTTCGTTTGCGAATTAAAATGCAGATGCGTTGTCAGCCTTGAGGACTAAGATAGAATGCCTCAATGCCTCTTTGCCAGTAAAAAGGATCTCCGGTTCTCTACACTCACCATACGAAACACAGCAGCTGCTATTTTACGCTGGTATTCTGTGAGATCGTGGTCCTTCCCCGGTCGAGCCGACCCATTTGTGCTACAACTATTAATATAGCTGCAGCATGGCTCTACCACATATCTACGATACATGTCGCACAAACGTCACGAGACGATAAGTTGAGGACTTGCAGTATCGCTAACGCATACGAATGTGTCAAATATAAACCAAAAACGGCATTAGTACTTCATTCAGTCAGTAGTCAGAGTGAAATTATTTTTCTCTACTGAAATAATTCATAGACCGTTTCTTTTTCAGCTACTCCTACAGCGATGAATCATCTGCCTTGTCTTACCTTATCTTTAATTAGTCAACATTATCTAATATATAAAAATTAATGTTTGTTTGTTCATATTTTATGCGCTGCCATACCGTTCATCAGATTGCGGTATAACTTTATCAAGTTATTGCTTACACTTGTGCGAAGGTATAACTTTCGCATAGTAAAATTAACGTACAGTAGGTGGCGCGCATATCTTTCCGATAAATGTATTCCAAAATTATTTATCATCTTCATTATCATTCCTAATTAAACAATATTTAAAACATTATTTCCACAACTTCTTTTCGCGGTAGCAACGTGCATAGTACCAGCTAGTCTATATAAAAAACTGGCCAAGTGCGTGTCGGGCCACGAACAATATAGAGATAGGATTCCATAGTTGCTCGTCACAATACGTGGGCCTTCTTGATAATGAGCATAAGTGAGTTCGCGGTTTGACCGTTGTAACGACTAAAAATGGACCTAAATAGAAAGATGGTAACTGAAGGACTTATTTTCAAATCAGAATTATAGGGAGTGGTATTCAAATAATATATTTAAAAAACTTAGATTTTGAAAATCATACAATTTACATCAAATCGTTCACATGCCAAGGTACAAAGATGATCATAGTTAGACTATCTATCTATATTATTTTACTGGCAGTGCAAACCTATACATATATGACCGTAACGAACCTTCACGTAAACCAACACTGCCCTAAATTATCCTGAGGTCGCTCGCGTAAACCAAGAGTGTGACGAATAAAACTATGAGGCTACTTGATTGTATGAATACTTTCAATGGGGCCTACAATAACTACCAACTAAAAAATAAATAAAAGTAGTAAGTAAATAAGAAAGATCGTCTCTGCCTATCCCGCAAATGAAAAAGGAAAGCTATAGCAGTAATGCATATAAGTCGTTTTCTTCATAAAATGTTGATTTTTAACACTCTACAATAACATTACAAAGTTGTAATGCAGCTAGCTTTAGGTCATATTCTATGGAGTTTCAACGAAATTTTTACTAATCCAAGTGAATTTTTTAAATTGGTCGACTATTACTCGTTAACTACTCACAGATTTGTAGTTGTTGCCAAGCCCCATAGCAGTAGAATTTTATGAATCTTCTTGGAACTGCTACCCCGAACATCGTTTGTACTAAACTTTTATCCCTTTTCACATTTTTATGTTTTTGATGGAATATCAATGATAAAAATGTTTATATTTTTATTATAAATCTAAATAAATACTTGACCCCTAACGTTTTTTCTAGCATTTACGCTTTAAGCTTCGTTCAGATCTACCAGCACGTAGCGTGAACAGCACGTAACCTGGCAGACACCGCACAGACAACAGTTTTCACATCTCACGCACCCGGCATGAACAGACGTCATCAGGTAAACTATAAAGTGCACGTGCTTACAAGATTTTTCATAAATAAAATCTTTCTTACACGAAACTTGAAGTTTTTCTGCTACTTCCTTCCATGCGTAATCTTTGTTTTGATTGTCAGTGTACCTGCGATCACACATATCATACCAAAATGTATATTAGACACCCGCAGACACGCACCAGCACAGACAAAACATTCTTGTTGAGAATGCTGGCCAGTACAGGCCCGTGTCTGCGCGGACAGGCTCCGCTTACGTGCGCTAGATGTGAATATATCTATATATAGTGTATAAAAGAATATTGTTTTGTCTGCCACGCCACGTGTCTGGCACGCTCAATATCTGTAGATCTGAATGAAGCTTTATTAGTTCTTTTTTTTTAATTTAAAGTCTAAGAATTACATTTCGACGAAATCATTGGCACGGTTATTTTCAAGTACATTATTTGGAATGACCAACCGATAATTGTCAAAATTGTTTTCGACACCGAATACCGATAATTTATAGTTTTCAGGTTTTGCCTTAACCGCCTATTGACCTAACTTGAAGCTAAATTTGAAGTTTCTAAATAATTTAGAAGTGGCTTAGAATTTAATGAGTGAGCGATAAAATGTCACTAATCTGATCGTAATAACTTAAGAACTACAACAGGTTTATTTATTAAAATATTGCGATTCTAGGTATATTTAAGGGATCCATATTATGTATACAAAATATCAAGTATAGGTTTAACAGTCTTTGAGTTATAGGGGTTCGAAAGTGCCTGGAAATGGTTCGTGTAAATATACACACTGCCGGTACGTCAACCTTATCATTTCCGAACTTGACTAACATTGTCGTGTGCCTGGATTTTGTCAGTCTTATACTGAGTTTTATGCTTTCGAGTTTTATCACTTTGTTTTATGATGGGGCCTCACACATGTAGACATTACTTCGAGAAAACTATTCCTTCGGTTACCTTATAGTAGCGTCGCGCGATGTTCTGTCGTAACAAAAACGTCAAGAAATAAACGGGACGACACGGTCGCTTTTATTTAATAGCATTAAATATGTATTTGCTAGTTTTATTACCTGATCATTTTGGGTTGTAAATTTGCTTTGCCTTTCAATTATGTTCTAAAATGTCGGGTTTAATCCAACAAATTTTACCAGGGTGATCTGAAAAGTTTCCGACCTCAACATGAACATGCCAGCACTCGTCAATAACAGCTAGTGAATGTAGCTGTGCATCGTTTGACGTCGTCGTGTAGTTGTGACATGACAGTTGTTTGAGTGAGTCGATGAGAGTGTTTATGTGAAAATGGAAAATATTGAGTATCGAGCTGTCATTTAACTTTTGTTTATGAAAGGAAATACGCCTACGCAAATCAAAGATAAGTTGGACTCTGTGTAAGGGGAATCTACACAATCATTTACTAGAGTTAAATTTAGGGCAGCTGAATTTAAACGTGGCCGTGAGACATAGATATAAAAAAAGATGTATATACCGTATATACTTTCATATTTAGTAAAAATCTGTTATGCTAACATTACACACAGACATTTCAATTTTATTTATTTGTATAGATTAATTTCCGTAAAGTTTTCATCAACCAGCATATGTTTATTCATTTGATCATTATTTCAAGGATTATTATAGTAACGAGACCGAGGTAAACTTGGACTCTCTAACCAATGTGTTCTAGAAATATCATCATAGTGCCGGTGGTAAGCGGGTTTATTGTAGCAACACAACTTGCCCGTGGACATCGCACATCCCTACTGATTGTAGGCGCCGTCTTTACGCATAGCGTTATGATACGTGGGCTATTTTTCGGATTAGGGTGAGTGTGTTTGGTAGTACTTTTAAGTGAAGCATGCATACTCAACTCCATGTTTTAGTGCAATAGCGCTAAGGTATGTGTGGTTTTTGCTACTGGCATCTTAGTAGCGTGATACTATGATGTGTTGGTGCTAGGTTTAGTTAACAATAGTACCAATTTTGTTACCATAGTCGATAGAGATCATGTGGGTGTGTTGTGAGGGGGCGCCATCCGTATGATAGTTGCATTGATGCTTACTGCTACTTGCGGTATTGCGTCTTGTGATGGATCTGCGGCTGTACTGCGTCTATTTCGACCCATCTTGTGGTTATGGTTGATGGAGGTATGCGGGTGGTGGTGTCTGCTGGGATTGTATGAAGGAACATAAGATGGTGTAAGCCCGATGATAGTCGTATAGTAGATGCTTGTTGAGTTATGCAGCATTGCGTCTCTGCGATAGTTATTTGGTGGGTCGCTATTTTCAATGGCGCTCTCTGCGTGTTGGTTTGACTCACGCCTAGTAGTTTTGCTCAAGTCGGGTCATTTCATTACGGGGCTGCAGACTGTCTAATCTCCTTGGTGGTTTATATAGCAACATAATAATATATCTCTGTAATTTTCCTATCTTTGAAAGATTGAAGGCAACTTGCTGATGGGTGAGACAAACATGACCGCAATATGCATATTATTATTATTACCTTATAACTACCTTTTGGCTATATCTGCCGTTGCATTGGTTGGTGGAGCATATGTGTCGACCTTATGCTGGTGGTAGCTGAAGAAACCACCCGCAATAGGTTGACTCTGAAGAAAACTTAGGGGAGACTCTCAAGGCTGCGTTCTAATTCCGATCAACGTGGAATCCCATTGCCCTGAGGTGAGCAATAGACTCATGATACTCTCTGCGGCTAATAACCATACTGATCATGCAATTATTGACGAGGCCTTATGTTAACATAACGTCTGCAGGAGCGGCGGTCTGCCAGGTGGTGGCGCTCATGGCGGGCATTTCGAAAATCCTGTTTCACCATGAAAACGCGCCATCTCATACCTCAGCGGTTGCCATAGCGAAAATCCATGAATTACGGTTTGATCTGCTTGACCATCTGCCTTACTCACTAGATCTAGCCCCAAGCGACTTCTTTTTGTTACCTCGTGTAAAAATCGCGCTCGGAGGACAGAGATTTTCGTCAAGTGAGGAGGCAATCACCTTCGTAAACAATCGTTTTGCAGAGAAAAACGCTGAGTACTTACTATGTGGACGGGTGAGAGAGATGGGGGCATCGCTTGGAGAAGTGTGTAGAGCTATATACATACATAAACAAGGAGACTATGTGGAAAAATAAAAATAAATTTTAAGAAAAAACGCCTTGTGTCTTTGTTAGGTCGGAAACTTTTCAGACCTTCCACGTAAACACACAACGTAAGTCAAAACAAAATAGACACACTGAATATAACTTATTTTATTTATATTGTATTACTATAACCTGTGGGCCGACTGAAGTGTGCCTAGGCAAGCGAAGTCCATGATACATGAGTATTCGCGATCTAGGTTTTAGAAAAAAGTGACACTTTCCTGTTGCAAGTCTGGCATCATAGCTGTGTCGCGTCACGTTGAAAACCGATGAAGCTGTAAAACTGCTAAACTGGCTAACAGCACAAACATTACAGAAAATAGAGGTTTAAAAATTAAGAAGGCATTATACGCTCAATATCAGCCTTGCTATGTAAAACGTGGGTTCCATTGCCAATGTACCATCCAACCAAGAAATGTTGGTTTTATAATTAATAAATGTATAAACAATTTCAACTTCGAATTAAGCTATCAATTAAGTTTAAGTAAGATAGTAGCAACAAATGATAAAATTTTACAAAATGCTTGGTTTAAAAATAAGAAAATTTAACAAGTTCGCCAACTGAATGTATAATTAGAAATTCATAATCATTGTGGTACGTGCTTCTACCAGGAATTATACCCTTACAGTCAGTTACTATTGCTATCACGTAAGTACGTAATGATGACCTGCCATGCCAGTCCACACTACCTTTTTAAAAATCTTTCTTCGTCTTTCAGTTATATTAAATATGAAACTTTAAGTCTATTTTGTTTGTTATTGTTCGCATCATAGAGTTTTAAAGCATTGGTGCTATTAAAATGGCTTAAAATTTGAATCATAACTTACCGAAATAGAATCCTTCCGCCATACTTCAATAAAGTCCCGAACTATTTTTCTCGAAAAATCTAGCATACGAAATCCAGTTATGTTAATAGCTCCAAATTCAGTGACTTCTTTCTCCCAGCGATCATCCATGACCTGTATAAACGTATATATAATGTCAGTATGTAGAAGGTACCATATCAAATCATACAAAAAAAAAATCAACGGAAATAACATGAATCACAACAAAACAATTTTTAAATGAAAGTAAAAGTACAAGATTGCTACATTTTGTTTGAGACAAGTAACTCGTGTATTTTAATAGAATTTGGAAACGAATTAAGTATGTACTCGTAATTTCCCTTCTTAGAAAGAGGATTCCTCTCAACTCAGCCCCTGATTGTGTGCAATTAACTTCCGGGGCCTTCATTACGCAAAGACAGTGCAGATTACCACAGGTACAAAGACTACCAAATGGTATTGTAGTCAAGCACTGAACAAGAAAAAAGCAAACTCTAGTGATCGCAAAATAGCAGTATGTCCACTGGTCTATCACTACTGGGGATGGGGAGCAGCATAATCAACGCTCACCAACCCGGCTGTGCAGCGTGAGCGAGGTGAATTTTCGAATAAATAATATAAATTAATAAAATATAATTATATATATAAATATAATTATACAAAATAAATTAATAATTAATATGCCGAATGTTCAATTTGCAGCAAGTTGAAAAGAATTCGGCTATGGATTTATAAACGCCGAGTAAGGAGTATAAGAATAATAAAAAAAGACTTGAATAGTTTGGAAAATCCAAAAGTGCACGCCTCATGAGCGTTTCATTCAATTTTGATAAAAAAATACATTGTATTCCTGACTTTTAAAATATATTACATTAAAATATATTTCATAATATATCACGTAATATATTAAATTATATTACGTGTATTAAATTTATCGCTCTATTATTTTAACAAGTAGTGTTACCTACAGGGAAAAAATGTTTACCAAAATAAATCGATTACACAAAGTATAAAATCGATATAGGAGTAGGAATATGGTACATTTGTCCTTTGTCTATCAAATGCGAAAAAATTTATAACAGCGGCTTTAAATTTTTAATAGTAGTAAAACTTAAAAAAGCTTAAAATCATTTTATTAACAAACTACGCGTACTAGGCTATTGTTATGAAATAGGAAATCAGTAGATGTAATTCTGAAGGTAATAAAATAAAACTTAGTCTAGTTCCGTCAATTTTTTTCGGGAGCTATCATGACTATATACAAAATCAACATCGGGACGTCCACGTAATTTTTTTTTCAAACCCGTATTTTTTTCGTATAAGTGCAATATTATGGTTATGATAGAAGCATAGAATTAATCTATGGATAGAAGCATATTAAGAACACAAAATTGCTTGACCTTGACATGTCGAGATTAGAATACACCTATAACGCTTCGCGCTTAGATTCTATAATTTTATATAATCTAAGACTTCGGGTTATTAGGCGTGAAATACGATCCAACGTTTTGCATATTATGATGTGTAATTTTCTGTCGTGATGTTTTTTGTTTTACACAAAATAAATATTAAGAATATTTTAATTTATCTATTAGGTTGATTAAAAACCTAGTCGAAAAGCGGGTACTACTAAAAGTTTAATAAGAAAAACCTACAAGAGTTTAGTTTCCTCAAATAAGATTATATGTAACTTAGATATTTCCAATTCGATGGCCTAAATAGAAATTGGATACTCACCAGGCCACTTAAGAAGTAATGGTAGTTCCTTCGGCCAAGTTGAACGTCACGTACGTGCAAAATTAGTGCATCTTTTGCTAGTTGTGTAGAGGAGTCGAGCACAACGTATTTGTTGCTCCAACGGTCGAGCCTCTCTAGCGCGCCAAGAAATTTAACCACATCTGTGGCATTGGCGACGCGTTTTACATTTGAAATGCGGAATGTCGCATTCCCGGGTTGCAGGCTTTGGTATAACTGTTGTAGGCGGAGCAGTCCTATAAAAATATACGAGAATTGTTTAGTTCTTGTTTTTAATTATTCAGTCTAGCCATTACAGTGCTGTGTTTTAAATAAGAAATAGTTGTATAAGTTTTTAAAATATTTTATATAGTTTTATTATTGTTCCCAACGTTGTCTCTAGGCAGGCAGGCTGGCAAGAGTACTTTTTTATTAGATGTTCTAGGAAGATACTGCCGCCCATTTCTTCGGTCAAAATCTTTGGTCTTATAATCATCAATTAAGGGATGGGAAGGAGATAGGAATTTGAATACGATCATGAATAAAAGTAGATAGGGTATTGTGCTATTAAACATTATGTAACCTAGGATACAGTAGGAAGTCAGTATTAGCTCGGGGAGCTGGAGGCTCGTGTATGCAAATGATGTTAGGGTAGGAATAAATTCATCAGTAAACTCAAGAAGGGCTATAATAATCATAATTTCAAAGATAATTAATACATCACATTAATATTCATAAAATAAAACTTGAAAGTAACTCTACATATCATCTAATAAGTATACAACATATCGTTTATATTAAGTATGTAAAAGTAGGTGTTATATTTAAAACACCCACACAAATGTACACGTACGCAGACGCACACGCACACACTCTCAAAAGCACGCACGCACACACGCACGTACGCGCACTCACGCACGTACGCACTTACACAAGCATACAAATCATTATTATAAAAATATATTTTAAATTAGCTTTGTCCCGTGGCTTTTCTCGCATGGTCTTCGCTTTACTAACCTCGTTAGGTGTTTTATGTCAAAATTTGTAAATCGGATTACTTGTAGGATTACCTCAGATTACCTCTTTGTCTATAATTGTGTCTGCCTGTCTGTTAGAAGCGCCATTCCTGGAGACTATTTCACTTATATATATTTTATATGTATTATACGTATTATACTAAATACGGGAATGAAGTTTTACATTTCAATTTTCGACTTTTAATTTCATTTGTTTTGCGGAGTAACAGGCAAGCTAAAAAGTCCCATTTCAAAAATATTTAAATCTTTATGTATTTGAATTTTTTTTCTAAATAGTTAATTAAAATAAACATATCAAAATTTTACGTATGTTCAAAGGAATTCATCATATTATGCATTGTTTCATTTTTGATCGTTAATTCAAAACAATTATTGGACTGCCCCAGAAGGATGTTAATGTTTTTCGAGTACTATTAGTATGCCCATTTCTTAAATACGCTCTGTGTCTAAACGGCTTGATAAATTTTAAGTGTGTTATCACATTCGTGTTGGAAGTGACATAGGGTAAATATCATTGCAGCAATTACTAGTTATTACAATTACCCTATCAAAAGTCTACTGCTGAACATAGGCCACCCCATAGACTGCCTTTAGGCTCAGAAGGGCTAGAACCCAGAGCCGTAAAGCCAGTTTAAAAAAAGACTGCCTTTATATGGAGGATATTTAGCATAGGTTGGCAACCGCAGTATTTTTTTATATTCAGTCGTTATCAAGAAGATGTTGCTGCTCATCTCCTGGTTCAGTTTTCCTGTCTCCTCTTATAAATCCCACGGGATTATATGGGATAGTAGTTATTTTTACACCGCCACTGCACGGCTTACATAGGGTTATATTTGAATTTATATCTATTCCGTGTATATAACGCAGTCGGAGGTTTTAATTACTGTTTTCAAAATCGGGCATGTCATATAATATGTTCAGTAGAGATATTTTATAAAACTTTGAACATCATACAATACAGGATCTTACTTTTTTACGTTGGAGTAGCTGTTCTATTTATTATGGAATTTTAAATCTAAACGGTGTTACTGTTCATCATTGAAAAAGTTCCTTGAATTTCCCTGTACTTAAACTACTGCAGTGAAATATATAGTGTTTATTTTATTCATTCTATTCAGTTTGAAATATTTTTACTAATTAGAGTGCTTTTCACTGAAACCAATCTATTTAAGTAGTCCTATAAGTACCGGTGTTACTGAATGTATAGAACACGGTTAACTTAACGTTAAACGTATTTTATACATTCAATCAAAGCTAAAAGTCGACGCCACGGCAAGTCTGCCGTCTATAAACCTGTCACCCAGCATGCTATTACATCAGATTGACAAACCTAAAATCCTTGCTATATAACACCGTTTCCTATTAAGTATGATTTCAAGAAGCTAATAAAATTAAAAGAATTTAATAGACAAGATGACTTGGTGGTATTATCTGCTATGCCTGTATTATATAAAATTAAGAAAAAAGTCCAGCAAAAACTGTAATACTTCAAGATAAAGTAAGATCAGACAGAGATATTATAAATAAATATTGTCATTTATGTAGTCTTTACATTTAGCCGGAATTGTTGGGAGATAAGGGAAATATCTTTAACAACTATAGGGTAAATTTCTACTTTGATATATGAGGGTTAAAGGGATCTTCATTCAAGCATGCTTTGTGGGCATTAGTGAACAAATGTTAGGATAGATCCCTACCACATAGTTTAATAAACATATAAATACTGTTAACGTATCGTTATTCAAATCAAGGTGTAATATCTAAGTTGTTTTGAATACATAGTTTTAAAATAGATTTTTAATTAAGAAGGAAATTATATTTGTCCTACGCCTATCCGCCGATCCATTTTCCCCACAAAAAGTACAATATGCCAAAGTGTGGTGTGTGATGATAAAAATGTTGATTATTATTATTTTACTTTAAACTTCAATTGGTATAAACTTCCTAGTATGTAAAAATAACGCCTTATGTTTTCCAACTACAAACTGTCTTCTTACACCTTTTTATCTTATTAAAGAGCAATGAATCACAGTCGTCTATACCTTTCTCCAGTTTGATCTGTCGTAGCGTAGTGTCACTAATGGTGAAGCATAGTGAAGACATATTAGTGGATTATTAATTAGTGGTTTGCTTCTTGCTACCCAAGTTACCCACCTTGCCCTTTGCTGCTAAGGTACTATAGCAGGTAAGAGAAATTTAAAATTACGAAGCGCCGCTGGTGGAGCCTAAAATCAAATCCACCTTTAAGGGGCAGAAAGGCTGTTGTTTAAAAGTGCTCGGTTATCTGATCTCAATGTTGCAAGGCAAAAACTTCCTGAAAATGGGAGCCACACAGGAAAATTCCGGCATGATTTGTAAGGCACTTTGGAGGGCAAGATATGATGCCTTTCGAGTGGGCAGGCTGGGCATCTGGGTCTAGAGGCGCCGCGGTAATGTGGGTGAGCGTTTTTTTTTTTTGAGGAAATTGTGAAAATGATAGATCACCGTGAATTTAGTATTAATTCAGCAACTAGCAAGTTGATATACGTAACACAAAAGAAAGTATTACTCCCCACAATATTTAAGTGGTGGAGTAGATTTTTTCTGCATTCGATTAGTCACATTTAAAACATTTCTTAAGAATTCAGTACAGACGTCCTAGCCCGAGGTAATCAGCTAGTTTGAAATAAAAGACAAGCGCTTTGCCATTGAGCTACTGGTATATCTGTTCCAGGATTGAACATTTAATCAAGTTAAGAAGTTTCTACAAATATTTGATATTAGATGATGTATCTTTGAGCTACTGGGATATCTGTTCTGCGATTGCACATTTAGTTTAGTTAAGAAGTTTGTAAAAATATTAGTGTAGATTCATCAAGTTGAAAAGAAAATATAAAAAGCAACGATTAAAATTATTGTTAATAATACAATAAAAACATAATATACGTACAAACATATTACGATCTTATTTGAAAAGACCATACGACATATGAATTATAATTTAAGCATTATTATTTTTAGTTTCAGATTATGTAAATTTTATATGTAAAGTTTGTTGGATACCATCCATGGTGTGTACTTATATTATTATAATACATTCAAGTGAACAGATCAATTGACCTCCACAATATTATCTTTTTGGCTGAATTTTATTATAATACATAATCATACTAGCTGGCTCGAGAGACGTTATTAACGTTATTCTTCTCTGTCCGGTAGATGGCGCGATGAGTATCACTGTGACTTTTCCCTCAACCAACACATTATAATTTGTATATAAGTCATAATAAAAATTAAAGTGTCGACTTGAGAAACGATTTCGAACATGTGGAAATTATTTTATTGTTTTTTGTTTTGTATTCGGTTCTACATTTTTAAGTTTAATTATTTAAGTGTACCCCTTCGAGTGGACGAAGATATATTACAAGTTCAATTATTATTACAGCCCTTCACAAATCCACTTCTAAACATAGGCCTCCCCAAGGAATGCCACATAGCACGGTTCTGAGCCACCTGTATCCATCGACTTTCTGTATGTCTTACCAGGTTGTCTCTCTATCTAGTGGGGGACGCCCTACACTTCACCTCCTGGCACGAGGCTACTACTCGGGATCTTTTTTCCCCATCGATTGTTGGTTCTTCGAGCTATACGGACGGCCCATTTCTATTTTAGGTTACTAATCCGTTGGGCTATACCACTTCTGCTACGGATATCCTCATTTATAAGTTTATCGCGCAGAGGAACCCCAAGCGTAGCTCTCGTCATAGCTCGCTGAGCAACCATGAACTTCGTCATACCACGTCTCAGATCTAAATGTCAAGTTTTGAGGTATGCCTGACGAAAATATGTGCTGTAATCTCCCAAACGCTGCACAGCCGAGTTGAATCCGTCGATTGACCTCTCGGTCGAAGTTGGACTTACCTAATCGGACTATTTGCCTCAGGTAAACATACTCGTCTACAAATTCGACACGTGCTCCCAAATACTACCGGTATAGGTGTGGTATGGATTACACATCATGATCTTTGTTTTCAAGTGGTTTGAAGACCTATCCGTAGGGAGACATTATTGAAGTCATTGAGCAGAGAGGTCCTCCAGCGATTCTGCCATAATAATTATGTCGTCGGCAAATTGAAGGTAAGTGATGTACTCGCCGTAAGTACGAATAAACTACGTATTCTGGCAAGAGCCCTGACTGGACATAGTTTTTCATAAAAGCAGATGTCTATCCTGAGACAAA